ACAGAAGTTTTGTAAGTCCAAAGTTGATAATAATTTTAATTAGCACTGGAATATCTGCTTTGAATAAGAAAATGTTGCAAGGCTTTTTAGCCTTTTTTGCTGTAAAGGTGCATTCTACTTCAGATGTTACAATAGTTATAGGTATAGAGAAGTTAATCCTTTACACCTTTCACACCTTGTTCTGATTATGATATCTGAGATGTATTAGTATGTTGTTAGTTCCTTGTTTAGAAGGTAGTCTATTTTGTGCTCTGAATGAAGCAAGAACAAGTAAAAAATACTTGCAATAAAAGTTGTAGCTGTATACTTATGCAGGAAGCAATTTTAATTTTGTGGGTATTTATGTAATTTTAATTGATTAGTGCTTGATTATTGTTACATGTACACTGGAATTGCAGAGATAACTATTGCATGCAGTTTCTAATTGTTAAAAAGCAGTTCTTTAACCTTTGGATGTTATAGACCAGGCAATTAAAAAATTTTTATCTCCTTTTGTCTGGGGCATTATAACTCCATTTCAAGTTACCTTAACTCAGGAGGAAGTTGATGAAAATGTCTAAGGAGACACTGCTTAAAGTATTTTTATAATTTCCAATTTCTTAAAAAGGCTCATTTTATAGAAACTGCCTTTGAGTGAGGAGGTTTGGTTTAACACAGACAAAAAGAGGGAACATTTCAGCATCATACCTGGATAGAGCAGTGAGAACCCACAGCAGCTCCGTAATTTACATTTTACATTCAAGCATCTCTTCCATCACTTCTGAAACTTTCTGAACAAAGCACTCTGTGTTTTGCCAGGCCTTTTTCATTGTGTATGTGCTACCTCACCATGCTATTTGGAAACTTAACTTCACCCCTCTCTCTCTCTCATATCACACAGCAATTGTCGCAATTCTTCAACGTAGTATGGTAGCATTCTCTGTTAGTAAGAATTGGGAGAGGTAGCTTCCCTTTATAGGGGAGATTTATTCATAGGTAGTGTAACTTTATGAAACTTAGGACACAGAGAATCTTTAAGATCACGTTTTAGCTGTTTGTAGGGTGAATAGAGCAAATGTTTTGTGTTGATACATAGCAGAATATTCATAATGTCTGGAAATGTTCAGCCTTAATGCTTAGGAAACTAGTTTGTTTAAGATTGCTTTTAACCCAGCTGAATATGGTCCATTTAAAATATGAACCGTTACAGACTATTTATAATCATGCATTTCAAGGATAGTTCCAGGGATATATATATATTATAATATATCTAACTTACCAAAATTAAATTATAGAGAACCAACGACAAAGGAGAAATCTCAGACTAAGAGGCCAGCGACAGTCGGACAGCTGTGTACTGAGTAGCGATGATGAAGATGAAACAAGAGATAATGATGTGTATGTGACAGATAAAGTGTCTCGAGAATTGGGACCACTGGAAGATGAAACTGCAAGTTCGAAGTGTGTATGCCTTATGACTTACCAAATGTTGAATTTTGCTTTTCTTATACAGGACTGAGTTATATTGCTATAGCCTGGCTTAGCTTTGAAGTCTTAACTTATTCTAGTTAGTTCCCTCTTTCAATGAGTACAACATCACATTTTGCATGATGACTGAATGATACTGTTTGCACTTTAGGATAAAAAGCCAGCCCAAGACAAATGTACAACTTTGCATACAGCCTTAAAGATGAAAGTGGGGGTATGGCAAGGAAGGAGGATTAGTCACAGGCTATAGCTCATAATGTATTGCATTTACTTTTCATGCAAAGCTCTAGTAGTGATGTTAGATATGGAAATATTTTCATTGGTGTAGATGAGGCTTGGTATCACGAGACCAGCAGGCAGCAGCCTGGCAAATTCCAGTAAAAACTCATATTCATTCACTGCTTTTTTACACACTGTGCCAATTGACTGCCTTTTTTTCTCGGAGCGGTAACTGTTCTTCCCAACGTATACTTGCAAGGCGATTGTGGAGGTAATACTGTTATGGCCAGTTTTTGTTCTGTCCCATGTATGTCGTGGAGCTCTGATATGTTTGCATGTGGGATGGTGATCTCGCTGTTTGGATCAGGTGTCTGCACACTAAAGACCCCATTCTGTGGAGAAACGGTAAGCTCCTGCTGTAGGAGCACTGCATTATGTTAAGAAAGACACAATGTATTAGACTAATTAAATGAAATCGGGTGTCCATGTGACTAGGGAAGACAAAGAACATGAGAATTGTGGTATAAACATTTTTTGAAGTGTTTGGGGGGACAAAAATACAGGTTTTAATAAAGCTGGTGTGCTTTGAGCCTTTTAAATTACTGGAAGGCAATGTAGGAGAGAACTTGGGTATGGAAATTTTGGATGTCAGGTTTTAAATGCCACCTAAAGGGCTTTTAGTATTCTAAAACATAGTGCATTTTGCCAATGCATTTGTAGATTTTTTTAAAATTTTGGTCATTAAGTATGTAGGTGAATAAATCCCACTAATTAGTTAATATAAAAAAAATAATGTTTTGTTCCTTCAATCTCAAGCTTCTCTGTTAAAGAATGTGTCTTCCTGCTCTGTTTAGGTAAGGCTAAAATCATTCAGTGCTGCAGCATTTAACATTGGCAAAAAGGTACTGATGCTGGAGACTGCCACAGAGCCATCTACAGTGTTACTCTGTAATGGTAGACTACTCTTGCTGATACGAAGGTTATCATCAGTTGTAATTAATTACTGAGTTGGTATTATAGCTGCTGCATAAAGAATTTGAGTAGTAAAAATGGGAGGAATAATGGAGTTAAATTATGTATGTGAAACTAGGGGTAGACATTAGTAGTGCTCACTGCTTGAATTTAAGATTACGGGATAAAGGATATCTCATGCTTTCTATTCTTGTTTAATAAATTGCAAACTGTTGCTTAGCATGGGCGGTGACATAATAAAGCCAAGTGCTTATGGTAAAGACTTAGGAAAGCAGCTTATTGTGATGTTTAAAATAAGAGATTAATCTGTAAAGAAAAGTAGCAGAAAGCTCCTTCTGACAGAGAATATTACTCAGCACTTGTGGTATGACATGTTCCTTACGCAGAATAGCTATGTCTGTTAGGAAATGTGCGTGCAATACAGCTGTCCTGGAGGCTGAAGGCAGGAGAGGTACATCTGTAACCACAGCTTGGTAACAGCCACCGAGTCAGTCTGTCCTTCTCTGAACTAGAAATTTATTTTTGAGTATTTCCGCACGTTAATGTGGTCCTGCCCTACATTATATAAGGAAGGAGTTCTTGGTGTAAATGTTACTGGGCTGGCATGTTGCTAAAGTAGAATAAGGGATGTTTTAATTTCTGACAACCACTTCCATTTCTAGAATGCTTTCCAAAGGACACCTAGATGGTTTTGTTACAAAACTCTTATTTATGTCCTGTTGAAGATTAATACTGCCATACGTATACTGCACAGCGCTATAGACTGCTGTCACTTGTAATAATAGAGTGGGGTGGCTAACTGCATCTAATGGAAACCAGGACGCCGTTTCCTTTAGGTAAGGGAGACCCTAACTACTTAGCAAATGCAACAAACAGAGAGAGTTAAAGGTACACAGGGATCCTCAGATGAAACACCTCCTGGCTGCTCTGTGCGGTCAGATGAATACATGACGTTTTATGTATCGGTAGCCCTCAGATGAAACGCCTCCTGGCTACTCTGTGCAGTCAGATGAATACATGACGTTTAATGTATCAGTAGCCCTCAATGCACAGTGAAATTAATGGATGCATATTCTTTCTGGTTTTGTTCTCTCTCCCACAAGGCCGTCTGGTACCGTTAGCTGTCCGGTTTGCATGGATGGCTACTCAGAGGTAAGGATCCACGAGTTGTCATCGTTTCCTTTTTGTCGGGGGGAGAACGGGGCGGAGGTGAGCTGTGCAGCTCTGTGGGTTATGTGGGACGCCACAGACAGCTGGCTTGAGGTACAGACCTTGGATTTCAGGTGGAACCTGCTTGTAACTCTCAGTCCTTTCTTCGTGGTGTATGTAGAGGGAGAAACGCTTTCCAAGATGGCACTGAAAGATCTTTGGGTTCCTTATTATTGTAGTAGTCATGTCCTGATTCCGGATACTCCAAGTCCTACTTGCCTGGTGCCAACAGACCAGCCAAGCTGACTTCTTTACTCCAAATACCTGTTGTGGTTTCTTTGCTTCCAGATTGTGCAAAGTGGACGACTGATTGTGTCAACCAAATGCGGCCATGTCTTCTGCAGTCAGTGCCTCCGTGATTCCCTTAGGAATGCCAACTCTTGCCCAACCTGCAGGAAGAAACTCA